TGTTTACATGAGAAATTTCAACCCGGGTCGAGTTCAGCCCGGGTTAAAAGTCTGTACGATAGACAAAATAGGTGAGAGTCTACATGAAGACAGTTGACCCGGGTCAAATACTGATATGCCGCCATAAGTCCACTTTTAGAGTCCTGTATGGTCACGTGAATCCGTTCGGGCGAAATTTGCATGTGGAATGCTGTTCAAACCTGGCGCAAGATACGCACAGAAGTACGTTTCTACGATTTTCTTGACCCGGGTTGAAATCAACCCGGGGCGAAATTTCAACCCGGGTCAAGCGCAATGCGTCATGTAAATGCGCCATTCATTTTGTGTACATGGCGGGTTGAAATCTGACCCGGGTTGAAACGGCTCATGTAAACACAGCCTAAGAAGCTCACCACCGGTGACTGCCGGCGCGTACCAGCGATATGTGGACCAACCCTAACAGATATCATTAGCACTACAGGCGATTTTCAACAGCGCACGTCGTACATGCACACTATACACATGTGGGTACTCTATCGCACTAGTTAGCGTACTGATACATGATGCATGTACTTGTAATGTACAGCAACTTACTTCTGCAGTCAAGTCCAGAGGGGAGAACGTCTTGGCCGTAACAAGGCATCATCCAGGAAGTAGCAGGCCAAAATTGACGAATTGTGGCGACACTAGGAAAACTCACGTATGGCTCCAAGTGGATGTCTCTCCTTGTGTGTTGCTATCACTACAGCCCATATTTCTTCTGTGCAAAGAGGTGTTTTGAATAGTGACTCTGTATACTTGTAGCCGATTTATCGCTATATCCAAAACAGTCAACTTCTTTAATAACGACTGCGGATATAACGACATTTCGCGAATACGGACAGAATTTCCATGCCCAGAGCAAAGTCCCATCTAACTGTAATACATATAATGAGACGACGGGTATAACGACACTTCGCGAATAAATTATAAGGAGACTTTTCTGATGCCCCGCCGAGCGTCGTTATACTAAAAGTTGACTGTATATTGGTTATAATGATAATTTGAGTGTCTTTTTCTGGTTTTTTCTTTTGATATTTTAATTTTGTATCAATATAGCCGGTTTATCACTATACAGTCGTCCCTCTCTAATCCGGCACTTTATAAACCAGCAGCCTCTATAAACCAGCACCCTCTGTAAACCAGCACCCTCTATAAACCAGCACCCTCTATAAACCAGCACCCTCTATAAACCAGCACCCTCTATAAACCAGCACCCTCTATAAACCAGCACCCTCTATAAACCAGCACCCTCTATAAACCAGCACCCTCGATAAACCAGCACCCTCTATAATCCAGCACCCTCTATAAACCAGCGCCCTCTATAAACCAGCACCCTCTATAAACCAGCACCCTCTATAAACCAGCACCCTCGATAAACCAGCACCCTCTATAATCCAGCACCCTCTATAAACCAGCATAATTTTCATTAGCCAAAATGTCCTCTTCATGCACATTGCAAGAGTAGATCAGATCTGTTAATCCAGCACCCTCCCTAATCCAGCAGATTTCCGTGGCACAAATGGTGCCGGATTATAGAGGGACCACTGTACACTATATCCGATGACTGTATAGGCGATATCGACTGTGTTTCCAAATCCACTTCGAGTATGCCTGGCTCACACTAGGCTGATTTTTCGACCGATGCTCCTACGCCGACAGCGACTTGAAATCGACCGACTGTGTCGGATGAGTCGGACTAGCTGTTCATACGTAACGCGGTGAGCAATTTTGTGCGTACTATTGTCGTGGACCTGGAAATCCAGTTGATTGGCCGGGGCCGGCGCCCTCAGTACAGCGCGTACAGAACGTTGCAGTGCGTGCACAGTCATGTTGATCCGATGCGACCAGCGAGCTGCAGCAGCGCATGTACTGCTTACTCACGGCTGCTTGGCCAGTGCCCTGGGGCCGCTAGACGTGCGACCGGATTTCCATGTCCACGACAGTAGTTGTGGGCCTACACCTTGTAGCTGGCCCCTGTCTGTTCACACACGTACACCACACTTGGTACACAGCCGAACTTGACCGTAGTATTGTCGTGGACATGAAAATCCGGTCGCATGTCTAGCGGCCCCAGGGCGCTGGCCATGCAGCCGTGGGTAAGCAGTACACACGTGCATTTATGCGCTGCAGCGCGCTGGTCGCATCGGATCAACATGTGCACTGCACGCAGCGTACAGGCTGAGGGCGCCGGCCCCGGTAAATCAACTGGATTTCCATGTCTGCTACAGTAGGCGCTAGATAACGGAAATGAGATGCATGTAGTTATTACACAAGCTCCAAGGCCAAAGGCGTGAAAAGTTTAGAATCTCGTAGTGATCCAGTGCAGCCAGTTCAAGGTCCGCACCGATGCTCTCTGCCGTCATGGCGAAAAGCCGTCAGTGACTGGATGGAGGCCCGCTCAACCACGTGGAAGCACTAAAAATTGGCCGAAAAGTCGATACTTGGCCGAACACTCGTAAGACAAGAAACTCGCCGCAGATTTGTCGGAAATGTATCCGTCAACATGTGATTTTCACCCCAATCTTGAGAACTTTTCGTACGAGTCCATGTCGGCCGGAAAATCGGCCTAGTGTAAACCAGGCATTACTCTAGGCAGATAGGTCTGGCGAGTGAATGTTAAAAAAAAGAAGAAGACTTAGTATTTATGCAGTATAATTATTATATAGCCTAGACCAAGATCCTCTGAGCCCTTCCTGCCTGGGAGGGGAGCTGGTCTACTGTCACAGGCGGACCGGCGGCGGAATCAGTGTTTGATTGGTGCGGCCATACGGTACTTTGTGTGAGGTATGGCGGGTATGGCGGGTACACGGTGAACTTGGGTTGGTGGTCAACCAGTTGGTCTGGGCCATGGCCTGACCAACCGGCATGCCATGGTCCTGGGGAAAGATACCCGCAGAGGAAGACTATAGCCATGCAACTTGCAAGACGGATTTCAGATCTCCAAGTGTGGTCTTCCTAGCGCTTGACGGGGGGGGGGGGGGTCTTAACTTAAGCACCCCTTGCACATTTCCCCAGTGCAGGGGCGTAGGCAGGGGGAGGGGGGCATTTGCACCCAAAGCACCACCCAATGCACCCCCTCCAAAAAATGTCGACCTTGGTTCTACAAACACCGTTGTGCCCGGTCTGCTGGTCACGCATGCGACTCTGCAGAATGGGATTGCGTAGCTGTCCTCGATATTTCCAGGTTAGATGCACCCGCACGAGTTTTCAAAACCGGAAATCCCAACTTACGTTAGTTCTGAGAGTCTGTTGATGTACCTAGTGCATGAACCTGTCTGTAGTGGAGTGTTGTCAGCACAATTATGCATGCCGTTTATCACATTCCACAAGCAGCACCGAAACTGGATTCACGTCGCACTATACTACCGGACGCGTTGAGGAACACCGGCATCAAGCAAAGTCGCTAGCATCGGCGGATCACCACTGGCACTTGGCCCATATTCTCTAGTAAAGTGTCGAATGCAGACCTGGCAAGTGAGTCTGCGGAGAGGGGATACGTCTCTTAACCAAATTGCATGTAGCTACCGAACAACGCTATAGACACATCTTTGAATAACACAAGATATGGCCAGTCATATGATTTACGTCCATGTTTTGAATGTGCTAAATATGAACAGTCTCATTTATGCATCCGCCAGCATGGTCAAGCGTATTACTAGCTTGAGCCACTGCGTAAAGCACTGTTCTTGTTTTCTTCATGTTGTCTGCATTGTGTCCTGGCAATGATTTCTCGTATACCCAACCCCAGCATTCTCTATCAAGCCTGTTTCATGCTCCCTCTAAAACGACTTGTTTTGCCATGCAGCACCTTGCAGGCTCCGCAGATCAAGTGCATTCATATTATAAGCTCAAACCTGGGTAGAAGTACCCAGAACTCCAATCTTCCCTTGCTCTCCGGTTGTTCGTGTGTTGTATTCAGATCCCAACCACGAGCATCGTCACCCGACTTCTCCGGGCCTTTTGTCTCAAGCACTATCGCTATGGCAACAGCTGCTATGGTAAGCATTGACATACACGGGGGGGGGGGGGGGGGGGGGGGGATGCAGGACTGTCACATTCTCAATACAGTCAGACCTCGCTTAACCGCACACATCTGTTTTCCACAAAAATATCCGGATAGGCGAGGGAACCTGATAACTGAACACACATACTGTATATGCATGTGGCATATCAAAAGCAGTGACATCGTACATACATGTAGACGGGTCCTATGCAGTACAACTAGCCTGCACAGTATCTAAAACAAGCGAGAAAAATGACAAGTGCATGCAACTGAGTGCTGTTCACATGCACCCAGCAGGTCAAGGACCTCATTTGCCTGTACAACTCCCTGATTCTAGCTTCTGCAAGGCACATGCAACCGGATACGACGAAGCTTTTTGTACACATTTCAACCAGTTTGTACACAAAATCATGCACCGGTATGCGGATCGCGAGGTCCGGTTATGTTGTATGCATAACATATGCTGCACATCGGTAACCAGCGATTTTCTTCCGGATGGCGAGGGATCCGGATAAACGAGGACCGGATAAGCGAGGTCTGACTGTATTAAACTTGCAAGAAAGGAGTGTTCAACTTTGCTAGTTTCCTGGGCTTCACGCAGGGCCCTATGAAGCCTGCAATTTTGTTAATCCTTAAATTATTACCGTAAAACCCCGTCAGAGTGCCTCTACCTCCGTGGCCCTTCGAGTAGATCAAGGTGGCAAGGGGCGGATGGACAAGTCCTATTTACCTCATTCAGTATTACATGAAAAGTACTCACCCTACGGAAACTGTGTGTGAGTCTCTCGTGAAAACTGTTCCATACATTTCCAACCAGGTCGAGCACGTGTCTGCAGTACAGTACGGCGTCACACTTCACAGAGTCGTACGATGATACAATCATTATCACTTCCCTGACAAGAAGTCAGGGAGGGTGCGTGGCAGAGACGGGGCGCTCTGGCGGGATTTCGCGGTAATAATGATGCACACAGCTGGCATCTTCCTTGAACCTTTCAGGTAGGCGCAGGGTTGATGCATCTGTCAACAACGCCAAGTCAAGCCACTGCACTGTTGGGCGACGCACGGAGCGTCGAAGAACGACCAGGCTAGAATCTCACCAAGACCAGCCTATTGATAATACGCGGTGATTCGACTCCGCATAGACTCTACTACGAAGAAAGGAATGGCCTAGGCTAGGAGGTTGACCAAGCAGTTCTTTGCCAACCCACAGTACTGTATGACCCGTAGTCTGTATGTCTCTTGCAGCTTGGGGGATCGCTCTCCACGGAGAAGTCTGCTGCCTTTGGGCTGCCCCAAACCACTGCCATTGTGGTATTTTACCATTATAAAAATTCTTTTACATTGAAACCCTCAAGTCCAGAATTTTTTTAATCACCACCTTGCTCTAAGCAGGCAGGCATAGTGGGATGGTCTAAGACCATGATTGAGAAACAGAGGGTACCAGGTTCAAGTCCTGCTTGGAAGAGGAAGGAATTTTTCCAGCCGTGCTGCCACCCACAGTTAATTGGGAAATCGTGGCCTGGGACGCATTGAATGGGATTCTCGGTCTTTGACCACTTTGTGGTGGGTCTGATCTACTCACCTCCCACCGCTTAGGAGCTGCATCTGCGCCTTGATCCAAGAGGGTGGTGGTGTTCCTGCGGGTGCGGAAAACTGGGCCTTTGGCCTAGTCTCACGCGAACCGTGATTTTTTTTTTTAATGTTCTAAGCATCCAGCAGCAAAAACATTCACTGGTTTAGATCTGGCCTGAGAAACGTGTTGAAATTTTGGACATTTTGGAATTGGACCGTATCTGAGATTTTACTATATCTTGCCATTTAACTTTTAAAGTGACCCCACCACTCCACACCACTGTGTTATTAACCCACTAGCATCACTTGCACCACACAACCTGGCACAGGGTTGCAGCCCAAGCCGCCTAGCATGGCGCCGCAATCCCTCCCTCCTCTCTCTCTCCTTTACGTCCTGACTGCTCTCTTTCCGAATCGACAGCCCCATTGTGCAGTGCAGGGTTCATCAAAACCAGCGCCTCTTCTATGCAGGTTGCATTGCGTGGATGTAGGCCCTGAGCAGTGAGCTACTGTGCCGGTTGAGTAAAATAAATATGACTGTAGACAGCTCCATCACCATAGTATACCGTACCCACGTGATTAGTGCCCCTGGGGGCTGGGGCACTATTTTTTTTTAAAGTCCATCACAGATGGGGCACTAAGCAAGAGAGGGTATTATTCAAGTGAGGGTACTATTCGAGAGAGGGCACTATTCAAGAGAGGGCACTATTCGAGAGAGGGCACTATTCAAGAGAGGGCTCTATTCAAGAGAGGGCACTATTCAAGAGAGGGCACTATTTGTTCAATGCTGGTACATTTACGCCGTCCTGCATAAACAAAACAATGAAAGGAGAAGAGAGAGCCTAATGTTTACTGTAAACTACTTCAGTACTAGTATCACGGCTCAACACAAACGACAACAAGAAATGCGATGTTGATCCTGAAACCACCAGTGCAGTGTCATGGACAAGAAAACTAGCAAAACAGCACCAAACTTGCCCATGCGCTTGGTTAGAAGCCCGGGGGGGGGGGGGGCACTATTCAAAAATAGGGTTTTTTTCATTGGCCCTCCATGACTGGGGTACTATACGAGAGAGGGCACAACTAGTACTCAACAGAGAGCTCTAACCGGGCGAGTACGGTACTCCATGTGTGCGGTGATGCGGATTGGAAAATTTCAAACTGGCCACGGCCATGCACGATGTAACAATTCCGTTTTAGGGGCCGTCCGTAAATATCGAACATTTTTCACCAAACGAATTATTTTAGTTTAGACCCAACCCCTCCCTCCCTCCCCCTCAGAACGTAAAAAATGTTGAGATATACATGCGTATACAACAAAAGTCGCAAGTGTGTCACTGCTCCTAAAGACATGTACATGTATCGAACTTTTCTGAAACGAAATTGGTCAACGAAATTATTTTGTTTCGTGAAAAAAGTTCGATAATTATGGACGACCCCTTTAATAGTACTATAGTAGTGATTTTCGATTAAAAAGAAGGAAATTCCACGGCATGATAAATTTGGTGAGCTCCAGCACTGCTCGATAACGCTAACCAGCTGCCATCCAACCTGGAAGGTTCAAAGCGCTTCTGCTGTAACTCTTGAGTTTCGCGTTTCTTAGCAATCATCAACCGTGAAACTCCGAGTTACATCGGGAGCGCTTTGTTTCCTTCTTTTATGCGTAGACCTGCTAGACATAATATATTATGTATTGTTCTTTTTCAGAGCTCCTTGGTGAAGGTGGATGAGTCAAGGGTTGTTTTTGTGTTTGTGTCACGTGCTGTCTATGATGCAGGCTGAATCTGACCAAAATCCATGGAAAAGCAGGGAGTTCCGCAAGTGGATCCCGCACCTGCAGCAAGCCCTCAGCTGCAGTCAAATTCGCACAGTGTGCCACTCATGTGGTCTAATATCTCAAGGACAAAAGCAATCGCTTATGGCTGTAGAAGACCCTGCAAAGCACAATGAGCTGTTATTGGATATGCTAAGTAATGGTGATGCACAGTCCTTGCATACCTTCTGTGAAATTGTGCGCAAGAACGAGCCCGAGGCAAACTTTGCCGGATTTCTAGATGAGGTCCAAGCCGTAGACGGCTTTATTAGAGGTAAGCACGCCTGCAAAGCCTGACCCAGTGATGGACTACGTTGTAAATGCATGTGTGCGTACGTGTGTGTGTGTGTGTACGTGTGTGTGCGTACGTGTGTGTGTGTGTGTGTGTGTGTGTGTGCGTACGTGTGTGTGTGTGTGTGTGTGCGTACGTGTGTGTGTGTGTGTGCGCGCGCGTGTGCGTGCATGCATGCGTGCGTGCGTATGTATATGTGTATGGATAAAGGGGCGACTGTAGTTGGATCCCGGAACGGATACCCTGAGGTCGTCAATCCTTTTTCTGCACCTTGTCCTCACCCAATTACTGAAGTGTGTTGAGCCCATAACTGGGATCATTTCCAAGTCCACCCGGAGTTTGGGGATTTCGGGCGGGGGGGGGGGGATTTTGGTGGCCATTGGGCGGTTCAATAAAAACCATTGGAAACAGTTTATTCATGGTCCGGCCTTACCATAGTTTTTCATACAGCTTGTGTATGATGATGGCGGGTACACAGTGACCCCTTCCGTGGTAAACACTAGTTTGTGGCCAAAACTTTGGTCGGGCTATGGCCTGGCCCACTGGACCAGTTCCACCAGGCCTTCAGTTGTGAGCGATCTTTTACAAAATCCTTTTGAGTCTCTCTTCCCTTTCCTGTGGAGACCCATGCGATCGGCTGTTTTTTTGCAAATGCATATGTACGTATGTTACATTGCACGTGTGTGCGTGAGCGCATGCAGGCGCTTGTACGTGTGAACAAACATGTGTGTTCGTGTATGATTCTGCACATTTGTCTGTCCAATCTTTCCGTTCAGTTACTCCAGGATGCAGGAAAGACTGCCAGAGAGTCACTAGCCTCATGAAAGAATTCCCATCGACGGAGCGCCAAAAGGTGGTGGAGGCGGCCGAGGACTTGTCACGGATGCTGAAATCTCGCATTGCTCTTAACAAGAGAAGGAAAACCATTCACCTGCCAAAGCCAACCTCTGCGATATTGGTTGATTTGCAAAGCAACGAGGGTGTGAATTCAGGTGAGACTTTGCGTTCATGTAACCACTCACTGCCCGAGAGGCATATCAACCCGGGAGAAGGCAAGGTTTTATTGCGTTCACGTTATCGCTGGGACGTGGATTCGAAACATTTTGAGAACAAAGAAAAGTCCTTCACATCATCTCCATTTAAGTGTGGCCCTATGATATACAGGAGAACGTTTAGATTGGAAGCATATACCTGAGCCCCTGCTTGCATGGAGACAATTGGACTTATTGGAGATATTCGAAAAGGTTTTCAACTCGCTGTCGGATATCTACACAAAAACACGATTCAAGAGTCTACATGACGCAGCCACCCTTGCTAGCTGTTGTCCCCGATAGGAGGCCACGGCAAACGGCCTGACAGGGTGTAAAAACTCTTGCCGCCAGCAGACGCGAGCGAGCAGAATTGCAAA